ATTTTTCTCTATCACTGTTCAACCAGTGGCTGGGAATGACGTCATTTTTTTAACCACCGGTAAAGCAATGGTTAGAGCTCAAACGGTTAAAGTTAACAGTTAGTCCTTTCTTGTTTTCTTCGACTAAGTTGTCTAATAGTTCTTTCAGTTTTCCTTCTGAATCTCTCATAAACCGAGTATCATTGTATATGTTACGTTGTTAACTTTATGTCCCTCAGTAATAAATCCTGGTTAGTCCTGGGTATGACGATAAACTACATCCGGCAGCAAGGCCTCTGTTTGGGAGATTGGAGGTTTTGAGGAGCGTGGAACCCTCTCTTAATTGCTTCTTTTCCCTGGTATACTCCGATCCGGGGTGGTATCACCTGTTAGGGTTCCAGCTATGGGCAAATAGTGAACCCGAAAAAAACCAAAAAAAACAACAAAAAAAAAAAACAAACAAAAAAACACGATAAAATGATAACAATACATTTTTGTAGTAAAAATCCTATCAATAAACATTTATAGGAAGAAATACCAACAATACATATTTATAGTAAAATGACCAACATCACATTTTATAGCAAAATGGAAAAAATTATTTGTAGTTGAAGTTCTAAAATTTTGTTCATATATTTAGATTTCGGTATTAAATAACCTATAGAGGTCTTGAGATGCCGCTAAGCAAGATCAACCAACCAACCAATAAATCCTGGTAGGACTTCTAGTTCTCTTAGCAGCTTTGAAAACGAAATTAAATTTGGCACTTACTTCTTATGTTCCGTTGACCTTACGTCTCTTGAAAAAAACATGAATTTATTTACTCTGTACTCCAACTAGATATTTTGATGTCTCGTCACTGGTATGCCAAGACAGTTGGCGCTTAGAGAATTTAATATGATGTATGTTTGCTCTTTTGTTAAACTGGTGTCAGTGAAAAATATGCAACTATTTCAGCCACAAGACAAGGCGTGGTCGTTTAGAAAATTTATTCAGTTTCACTTTTTTTTTTCATTGATAACCAAAATACCTGTTTCTTCTTGAAAATAACGTTGTACTAATCTGCACATTTCTTGGATTTTAACGCAGCCCCGACCATGCAAATGATCTTGCCGACGGTAGATACAATCCTGTGCACTATTATTCCACATATTTTGCAACTGTTGACATACTACATCAGATGTAGGTGGATGAACTGAACGAGTCAAACGTCGTCCCATCATGTCCCATTGATATCCTGTTGAAAATCTGATAGGTGGATAAGTCGAAGAATATTCTGACTGTTCAAAGTTCCTTGTTTCCAAAACCGGAGCAGCACCAACACGTTACTTGGTAATAGATAAAGAAATAGAAACGAAAGTGGGAAGGCATTGTTCTAACGGAATCCTTAGTTCTGAGAGCTGGTTTGGTTTAGAAATCATATTTCGAAATTTATTTTACTCACACACCTGCTACCCTAAGAAGATGGAAATACACAGATATGAATCTAGATTAATCTGACACAAAGAAAAATTGAAATAAATAGAAGCTTGTGTATCGCCAAGATGCCAAGGAGAGACTGATTTTAAAAAAAATTAAAACAGCAACCGAAATTTCACGTAAGCTCTAACACCGGCCTTCGTAATAGACAGGAAACGCGCAACTAACTCAGGCACTTGGTAGGGTTATGATCGATACAGATGTTTTATTCAGGTTCAAGTTTTCTTTCATTAATAACTAGCAGTAGAGCCCAGCGTTGCCCGGGGATGTAACAGTAAGAGTAACGACCATCATAAAGACTGAAAAATAAAATTGACAAAGATTATTGTTTAAGGTTGACGGACACGCATGTCTTAATTAGTTTTTTCTTTTTCTTTTTTTTTTTTCTTTTTTTTTTTACGAATTGGTCAAACCCAAACTCAAACAAAAACATTGTTTTCAATCGTTATGAGTCTCTACCGATTGAATAGAATTTTATTATAAACAATTGTCTTGTAAATGGAATTTTTAAAGCATTCTGAATGTAAAAATAAAGAAAAAAGTGTGCAAGACAATAAGAAACACTACCTGCCAAAAAGTGAAGTTTTGTTGAAATCGGTTGAAAATGTAGGAAATCTGATCCCATATATAAAAACGAACACACACACACACACACACACACACACACACACACACACACACACACACACACACACACACAACCTGGGTTTTATAATAAGTATAACTCGATATGAGTTGTCCCCCTTTCATTCTGGCGACAACAATGCCTCTTAATCGTGTTTTCAAATTGATTTCGTGCAAAAACAATTTTGTTTTTACAATGTTTGGCGCTGTCAGAACCACCGCGAGGTAATTTTACGTTGTCCTGTGAAGTTTTGTTGAAATCGGTTGAAAAATGTAGGAAATCCGATCCAATATATAAACGAACAGACACGCACACACACAACCTGGGTTTTATAATAAGTATGATCTATCTGATTCTTCTCGAAAATTAATCGCTCTAATCCGTATGATTAAGTATAGGGCTGAAAAATGACCACTGAATTTGATATTGGTAAGTGAACACAGCACTGATTTGAACCCGGATTTGTAGCCGAGATGTTAACCATGAAGAGCTATAAATAGGAATTAAAACACACCCGGGAGCATGTCACTGATAATTTAACGCATTTTAATTGGTCAGAGTATCTAACCACGTACTTACATTTCGACACGCTCGAGTAGAAACATGTGCTAAGTATATGAACCGAGGCAGTGCTTCTTAGAAAATAAGTGTGTTTGGTACGAGTTTTTTTTTTTTTTTTTTTGTGAGAATCGGAGAAATGACGATAGAACCGATGCCGATAGAATCACCAAGAAAAAAGAAATGGCGGCAACAGAGTAAAATTAAGTAATATCAAAATGGTGGATCTCGTATAAACGTTAATTCGTCCAGACTGTCTGAACGGATTGGTCGTCATCATATCAGCGGCTCAAAACGACCCAGAGCCTGAGATAACGATTATCTGTCTTTTATAAATAGAACTTAACATCATGATTAAATGGTTAAGAATATATATTTAGCATAAATAATCTTTTATCGAGCGTGTTTTTGACGATACTTCGTAGATTCATTTAGCTTTGAAGGACAGTGGACTGATTTGATGACGCCATCGTGATAAAACATCAACTCAGGTACTTTTTTTTTTACAGTTAGAGTGACCCTTTACAAGGCTCAAGGTAGAGGGTTAAGAGGTCATTTGTATGTATAGGTGAGGGAGATAACGATTAACCCTAGCCTTGAAGAGATAAGGTTAGATTAAGATTGTAGTGATCGGGAAAACATCCTGTTGGGAGTCGAGCAAGAGTTCGCAGGAAGAAGCTGTTTGAGTGGAAGAAAATTTCGCAGTTTTCTTATTTGAAATTTCTGATGAATCTTAATTCTTAATGATTGAGAAAGTTCATGGCGAATTCTACGACAATAAAATATACCTAGAAATTCCCCTATCGCATCGTTAATATTTGATCTTAACAACTTTAACAAAATAGTGCAATAGCAATCATAAATATTAATAGAAGTTGTTATTTTAAGAAGTAACGGGGTACAAATAAAAAGATTTGAAAGACAACTTTTTTTTTCATTTCACTGAAATGTACGTTAAGCAATTCTATCTTCTCTTTTACCTTCCTTCTTTCTTTATTTATTTTCTTTCTTTCTTTTATTCATTCATTTTCTCACTGAAACCAAGTAGCATTTATGATATATCTTTTGTCTTTCCGCGCGATCAAAACGGAGTATACTATTATTTATGAGGTATAGGCACTCCTTAAATATTATTTTCTTTCTTTCTTTCTTTCTTTCTTTCTTTCTTTCTTTCTTTCTTTCTTTCTTTCTTTAATTTTCTCACTGAAACCAAGTAGCGTCTCTAAAATGTCTTCTCCGTCTTTTCACGTGATCTAAACGGAATATTATTATTTACGAGGTATTGGCAAGTGTAAGGGTCATACTAGCTAAGGGAGGGACACTCAGAATAATAATAATAATCTTTGAAGATATTCAAAAAGTTGTCAAAGTACAAGGACCTTGAAATAGAAATCGCGAAAATGTGGCATATGGGAACATAAACAATCCCTGTTGTAGTTGGAGCCCTAGGACTGGTTGGAAAAGATTCCAGTAGACTAATTGAAGGGATTCCTGGAAGTCCATGCCTCAAGGAGATACAGAAAATTGTTCTGACAAGTACAGCCCACACCTTACGAAGGGCTTTATCTATGTAATCATTTTTTTTTTTTTTTTTTTTTTTGTCAGTGGAAAGTGTCATGACGCCATTTCTAACCTTAGGTCCCTGAGCGGGACCCGGAAAGAAATGTGTAAACGCCAGAAATTAAAGAAAATAAAAATAATAATAATAATAATAAAAGACAAATATAATGAGCTAACGAATGAAATTTTGAAAATTTTGGAAAATATTTGAAGAACTAGCAAAGAAAATAATTACAGAACCAGTGATCCTTAGAAAACTGGGGTGTGGTACAAGAAACAAGACAGTACTGATATTAGATTGTTATGTGGAAAACGAACCATTACAAAAATGGTTTCCCAATCGGAAAAGCAAGGTACTCCGGAAAATATTCAGCCTGTCGGTATTCGGCAAACATTAAAAGAACTGCAGAAACACCTGAACAAATTTTATCGACATGGTTTCGAAATTGTGGCTGTCATATTAAAACTTACTTTGTCACATCGAGCAGGCCTGCGGTATAACGACTGCGCTTTATCCGCAAATGCCAAAGCATTCGTTTAAGGGAAACGAAGTGAATCACCCAAAAATAACAATGGTTGAAATAACAGTCACAGATTTCGCACACCGATTGACCTCTGCCCATCTGTTTGTATTATCGGTAATATGTAGTCTGTGTGTCTGGCCATTATCTGGGGTCTTTCGTTTGTTCTGGGTTCCATTAATGGGATTTTGGTTGTAAGCATTGACAAAGAAGAAGCAGAAGCGGAAAAGAAGGAAGAGAAAAGGTAAAAGCGAAAAAAGAAAAAGGGAGTACGAGTTTTAAAAGAGGTGGAAGTGACAAGTGTGAAAAAGAGAAAAAAACAGAAGGAGAAGGGAATAGAGAAAGAGATCGGAAGAAGAAGAAGAAGAAGAAGAAGAAGAGGAGGAGCAGGAGGAGAGGAGGAGCAGGAGGAGAGGAGGAGGAGGAGGAGAAGGAGAAGAAGAGGAGGGGAAGAAGAGGAAGAGGAGGAGAAGGAGAAGAAGAGAAGTAGAAGAAAAAGAAAAAGAAGAGGAGGAGGAAAAGAAGGATGAGGAGCAGAAGAAGAAGAAGAAAAAGAGTAGGAGAAGGAGAAGAAGAGAAGTAGGAGAAGAAAAAGAAAAAGAGGAGGAGGATGAGTAGAGGAGGAGGAGGAGGAGAAGGAGAAGAAGAGGAGGGGAAGAAGAGGAATAGGAGGGGAAGGAGAAGAAGAGAAGTAGAAGAAAAAGAAAAAGAAGAGGAGGAGGAAAAGAAGGATGAGGAGCAGAAGAAGAAGAAAAAGAGTAGGAGAAGTAGAAGAAGAGAAGTAGGAGAAGAAAAAGAAAAAGAGGAGGAGCAGGAAAAGAAGAAGAGGAGAGGGAGGAGGAGAAGGAGAAGAAGAGGAGGAGCAGAAGAAGAAGAAGAAGAAGGAGAAGAAAGAGAGAAGGAGGAGAAGAAGAGGACGATGACTTATAGAGGAGAAAAGAATAGAAAGAAGGTATTTTTCAAAAGACAAAAGAAAAAGAGAGAAAGGCAGGAAGACAAAATAAAATAGAAGGCAAAGGAACAAAAAAGAAGATGTAAAAAAAAAAGAAAAAGAAAAAGAGAGTGACCACATCGGTTAGGTAAAGAGTAGAAGGAAGAGATTGAGATTAGAAAGAAAAGATTCGTGGTAATACATAAAAACGAAAGTATTTGTAGCTTACCGACTGAGTGGATGTGAGGATGGTGTAAGGGGAATCGGAGAGCCGAGTTCGAATTCCAGTCGAGTTCGTTACATTCACTTATATGCAAATATTTATGGAAAAACATGAATCTATCTCCCCTCCACCCAGTTATGGGTTAAATAGTAAGCCTTGGAAAAATCATTATTTCCAAACTATTGTTAGTGCAATACTCACTCTAAAAAAAAGAATTATTCTTACAATCTAAAATAGGGTTCCAGTTTAAATAACCCACAAAACGGTTAATAAGCCATAAAAAAAATCAATCAATCAATAGATTCCTTCTAAGTACGCACATCTATGTTTTCAAGGTTATGATCTCTGATAATCAACCCTACTAGGTCACTATTTTTATAGGTTAAATAGAATCTATGAGAAAACCTATTCTTGTCACACGCCTCCTTCAATTTTTGTGAATTCAATAAACAGGTCCCTTATCCGAATTGAAAGCTGTTTGCTTCCTATAGAGTTTACAGGTCACTTGAAGTTGTTTTCCGTGTAAATCAAGCTTCCTAAGAGATCTTTGTGCAATCTATGAAACAAGAGTACAGCGGTAATAACATTCTGATCATCAAGATAGCATTTCTTACTTCAGTGCTTTCAGTAAATCCAAACTGTTCTCCGTCTATTTCCGGTCTAATTGTTCTACTGGCTGTATTCATTACAATTCTAATGGTAGTTTTTAGTTATGTGGTTCATTATGTTGACTGTCCTACAAGTTTGCACCCTTTTCTTTTGGTAGTGCTATGAAGCTAATGTATGCCAGTATTTCGCCGTTGTCGTATATTTCTCTTCTCACTTCAATAGACAGATCCCTAAAGCGTCTAAAGCTGTCAGCATCTCTAATACATGAACTGCTGCTTGCTTTATTTTCATCTAGGCCGATGCTATATTCACTCACCAAAAAGAAAATTTATTCTTCCAATCTAGAATATTTTGAGATCCAAATAACCAAAAAAGTTCCGTTCAATCGTAACAAAAGAAATAAATTAATTCCTTCAGTGCCCGGCATTCGCACAATTTCATCCGTGTATCTTATTAACGTTACAGTCGACGATAATCACGCTTTCTAATAGTTCCTTTGTGTAATCTATGAAACAGGCCTTTCTATATTGGTAGTCCTTGTTCTAATAGCATTTTTCTCAATGTTTTTAACAAATCTACGCTGTTTTTCGTCTATTTCAGATCTAATTCTGTCACGGTCTGTATACATTGCAATGCTAATTATATGCTTAGTTACATGGTTCAGTAAGCAGATGTCAGTGAATGCTGGACAATCTCCTCACAGATGGAGAAGAGACTTGAAGTAACAGAAATTTGGTTCTATAGAAGGATGCCATGGGCCGAACATGTGAGTAAACGACCATATTTAGAGAAAATGGAAATAAAGGGGAAAATATACTTAATATCAGGAAGAAATAGTTGAAATCACTAGGGTACATAATGAGGAAAGGTGGCTTGGAAAAGATGATACTCGCAAGGCAGACTGAAGGTAAGAGGGACAGAGAAAACCAACGCATAACATAGTGAGCTTGAGTAAATGTATGACTGAACAGGGTTTAGAATAAATAACAGAAAGAAAAAAATTATTAAGAGCTATAAAGGGTAGGAAGTAATGGAGAGCCATGATCACCTACGTCCTGTGTTGGACACGGCACATAAAGAAGTAGAAGCTGATTGTTCTACAATGTTTGCACATGTTTCCTTTGGCAGTGCTATGAAGCGATGTCTTCCGGTATTTCACCGTTGTCGTATATTTTCACTTCAGTAAACAGATCACTAATTTGTCTAAAGCTGTCAGAATCTTTAATAAAATCTTACCTGGCCCTGCTACATTCTTCATCTTGGCCTTTGTACGGTTTTTAACATGACAGTTTTTTCTAGTTTTTTTTTCCTCCTAGGTTTGTATGCGTTGCAGTTACTGTTTCCTCTGTTGCGATGGATGAGCTGCCTAGAGTATTCATTCTATCTCTGTCTTGCTTTTTTCTTTTTCGGCTATGATTATTCTCTTCTTTCGATTTCATTAAACTTGCCATGCTATTTCTTTTATCGTTTTGTGCATAACTTCTAGATCTGTGTTCTGCAGTTTTTCACTTTCTCAGCGAGCAATTCCTTTTCTTTCATCTTTCTTATATATAAACTTTTTGTTTAACATCACATATTCCGCATCAACTCTGTGCGTTAGTTAAAACTAAATACAAGTAGAGTTCAAAAGTGTCTCCGAGCCCTTGTGGGTGACGAATTATTCCCCACCCTTAGCTCCTCTCCCACAAGCGGGATGTGGCAAGCCTCCCGCTACTCTCCTTCTTCTTCCATGGAAATTGCACGGACGATCTACATTCCCTGGTCTCTCTAAGGCAAACCTTTACGGCAATAACACGCCATGCCACTTACATAGTAGCAAACCACCGACATTCACTCCATATTGTGTTGGGGATAGTAGTTACAGCAAGACGAAAAAAAAAACAACAAATTTTATTAACATCTGTCTCTATTTCTGAAATGAGGTATTGTAAATATTTACACTACGTTGTTCAAACTGTTTCTTCAGATTTACTGTCAAATTCCGGCGTTTCGGTCGTTGTATTACAACAAATATCACCTGAAGAATACCGGAGCGTACAACTGTCGAAACGTCGTTAATGTGGCAGTAAAGATGAGGACAATAGTCGAAACAATGTAAAATCTGTAAAAAGTTTTATTAAATTCAAGCATCAAAATCTGTCTATTCTAACTGTTAAGTGGGAATGATATAACAGATATCGTGATGTGATTTTTGTTGCATTCTTTTTAGTACAACGTGTTGGCCGATGCATTCTTCACTCTTCTTCAAGTAGCCAATCCTTATGGAAAAAGCATATAACTTTGCTAATAGATGTTTGGACTACTGCCTCCCATTTTTGCATGAAGAAACATTATTGTTTTTAGAAATTTGCTCTGTAGCATTCAGCAAGAATTCTGTTGTTCTAAGCTCTGGTTGCAAGTCATGGTAACATCAGTTCAATGAAAACTTTCAAAATAGGTTTTGGAAAGACTTTTATTATTAATGCTGGGTTGCCGGGCAAAGATTGATTTACAATAATAGACAAAGGAGATAAGACTTGAGATGATGATCACCATTCTGATACAAGACTGAACAGGTGTTAGTTATACTATCAACAAGTCATTTTAATTTCGGTTGAACGGATGGGGGGCTGGGGGACTGTTAAAGGGTTTCAACTTCTATACTTACACAAATATTGACTAGGAGATAAAAAGAAAAGATGGCGAAGGGAAACATCAACAAAGTAATGCATTTAAAGTAAGATTTTAGCGTTGGAAAGAATTTTATTGGTTATTCCGTAAAAAGCTTTCACTTTTGAGCAGATGTCACATAGGATGCAACTATCTCTCTTTCTCACGCAGACACGCACGCACGCACGCACACACACACACACACACACACACACACACACACACACACACACACACAAGAATACAGACACGCACACGAACAGACGCTCGAACGAATACACACAACGCAAACACATGCACAAACCCACATGCACCCACACGAATATAGACACACAGATACAGACACACACACACACACGAATAGACGCTTGAACACAAACACACACGGTACAAACACGCAGGAACACAAACCAACATACACGAATACACACACACGCATGACCACACACTGGAACACAAACACATTCAGAAACACAAATAGAAACAGGGACACAAACACACACACACACTGGAACACACATACGCCGCACGAAGGCAAACACGAGAACAAACATGTACACGCACACACTCATACGAACATATGTACGAACACACACACACATGAACACACTCATACGAACACACACATACATAAGGTTTAAGATCACGAAAATGTATTTCTTTTTAAAAAGAATGTCCTTATTTTTTGTATATTTTTTACTGATTTTGTAAAGATCATAAATGTATCCCGGATGTATCATAATTTCCGTTATTTTTTATCAACTTTATTCTTCACAAAATAAAGTACAATTGCATTTTATTCAATTTCCAATGATTTGTAGCTACTCATCAAGTAACTCTCCCATAGGATTTGAGTAAAATTCCACAGATTTCGATGTGAAAAAGTTCTCGGCGCACTCTTCAAACTTGTTTTCATTAGAGAAATTTTTCCATCGAAGCGTTTTAAAGTGATCCAAAAATGTAACCATTAGTTGATGCAATCTCAGGTGAATATGGTAAATTGAACAGAGTAGACTAGCCGAGTTCCATCCTGTTTTTTTGGGTTATCCTTGCAGCCTTGCGGTTTCATGTAGGAGACACATTTTTCCTTTAATCCACTGTGTACGCTGTCAGTACTGTGGCTAAAACTAAGGTTAGCCTTCTTTAAATTTATTCTTAAGGAACAAATATGTTTAGTAATTAGAAATTACTTCGTTATAACAATTGGTTCTTCAAAACGGAAATTACTTATGACTCAAAGTAATAAAGTTGTTTTCATCAAGAGTAAATATTTGCTTTCGCCGGGTTTTATCTGATATTTATTTTTATAAAAATACAAAAGATCTGGCACAAGGCCTAACATTGGGTTTGGCGGGGGGGTTGGGCTTTACGATTCTATCTTTCAACCTAGCTAGGCCCAATCACTGATCCATTCGCACGAATATTTTTCTTGTCACCAAAACTTCACATTTACACTTCTCAGTCACACTTTAATTCTTCTTTTTTATGTGCCATGTTCTTTCAGGACGTGGGGGATCATGGCTCTCCACTTCCTCCTATCCCCTGTAGCTCTCAATAAGTTTCATGCCTCTGCCAATTCCCCCAGACCACGTCCTGACATCCACTTGCTTAAGCCCGCTAGTTGTTTTCCCTTGTCTCTCTTTCCCTGTATTCGACACGTGAGTATCAGATTCTCCAGGCCCTCCTTTCTCATTACGTCTACCAGAAACTTTAGCTGCCTCTTCATGGTTTTAAGTATAAGCTCCCTCCTTGTTTGAATCTTCTCCAAAACCTCGTTGTTGCTCACACGCTCTGTCCATGATATTCTCAGTATCCTTCTGTAGAATTCAGTTACGCTACAGTCGTTATAATCCTGTAATTTCATTATGAATTGTAACTCGTATCATACGTGCATGAATGATTGATTCGTTTTCTACGGTTTATCAACCCTTTGCAGGTTATTTAAAGCCAGAATATATTTTTAGATTGGAAGAATTATTTGGTGGGGGAGGTAGGTAGATTATAATGGTTTTGTAATACAAGTCTTAATAATCAACCAATAGCTGGAGTGGGGATAGGTAGAAGATTCATAGCTAATATACAAATAATGTATAAACAAATAATGTATAAACAAATAATGTTGGTTGGTTGAGTTTGTTTAGCGGCATATCAACACCTCTATGGGTTATTTAATGCCGAAATCTAAATATTTTGTCCATAATTTTATAACTTCAACTACAAATAAAATTTTCCATTTTGCCTTCAGGCTGAAAGATGATTTTTAAAATAGTTTGGGGATAATTAAATGTATTGTTGGTAATGTTTTTATAAAAAATGTATTACTGGTAATTTTACTATGAAAAAGTCTTGTTGGTGATTTTTGCTATAAAATGTATTGTTGATTCTTGTTTAGGGGTTCACTAATTGCCCATAGTATGGAGCCTAACAAGTGCTACCATCTCTGGTCGGGGTGGACCTGGGAACAATAGCAACTAAGAAGTGCTTCCACGCTCCCCAAAAACTCTATTCTCCTCATCAGGGGTCTTGCTGCTGGATGTAGTTTATCGTCATACCCAGGATGGGATAAACAAACAAGAAATTATAATATGGATATTATGTGGGGTATCAATTCTATATTTTAATCAATATATAAATTGATCCCTCACTTTGTGGTAACAGTAGTTTCTATACATTTATATTCCAGAAAATGTTAATAAGTCTAAAAGACATTTCAGTATTTCATTGATAGATGGATTCTTTTTTTACAGCTTATCAACCCTTTGCAGGTTATTTTAAGCCAGAAAATATTTTTAGTTAGTATGAAATGTTTTTTGGAGATAATAATGGTTTACTAATACAATTCTTACTAATTAACCCAAAGCTGGGGAAGAAGATGGGGAATCATAACTTTCCCCAGGGTATTTGCACGTAAGTTAATATAACTAACCTAAGTGGAATTGGAACTCGGTCCTCCGATTAACAATTCCGAGCTACTATACATTAAACCACCCGCACATCCAAGTTGACAGCACCTGGTATACCCAGGCGGTCACCCATCTAGGTACTCTCCAGGCTCGACGTTGCTTAACTTATATTGATACGGTGTCCCCAGGTTGTTCCAGTGTATGAACATTTCATCCTGAAATTGTGATGCTCCAAGGTTAGATCTAGATTTTCCTATCAGTCGTATCCCATGACACCTCCAGGCTCGACGTTGCTTAACTTATATTGATACGGTGTCCCCAGGTTGTTCCAGTGTATGAACATTTCATCCTGAAATTGTGATGCTCCAAGGTCAGATCGAGATTTTCCTATCAGTCGTATCCCATGACACCTCCAGGCTCGACGTTGCTTAACTTATATTGATACGGTGTACCAAAGTTGTTCCAGTGTATGAACATTTCATCCTGAAATTGTGATGCTCCAAGCTCTGATCTAGATTTTCCTATCAGTCGTATTCTGTTATGGGGTCCTCCTCTTTTTCATACAAGTGGACTCGACCAGAGTGTTACTTGGACTACTGCCGTTAAATACCCAGAGTCAGTCAGAATATACAGAGAGAGAGAGAGAGAGAGAGAGAGATTGTGATTGTGATTGAGTTGGAGGTAGAGTAATAGTGTGAGGTAACTGTTTGTAGAAGTCACAGTTACAAGCACGTAGACTCTAAGGAAGTCCTACTTGGAGACTGTAGATATCTATATATTATTGCTACTAACCGCGTTCCTAGATTTACTAACAGTATTAACCATTGTATTATTGTGTAAATACATTTAATTTCTTATCTTTAATTCCTGCGTTTGTCATTCATTGGAGACCGAATTTCATCTCGGAATCCACAACATATTCCATGAAGTCTTCAGGCTCGACGTTGCTTAACTTATATTCAACATGTCTTGGGCAGATATATCTGGCGGTATCATCCCACTTCAGGCCAGACTACATCCGATATCCTCCTATTTGAAAGGACACCCTGGTCCTGAAAGCGTAGCCGTTGATTCTAACCTTAGGCGAAAGAAGATGAGGTAGACAAAGGGAAAATGCTCCGACAATGTCACTTAGTAAACTAGAAGATAATTCACAGAGACTCAGATAACGACACGCAACCGAGAGGAATGGAGGGAGCTATTCAGGTTCTCAGCTGCAAAGCAAAACCTACAACCATCCCTATTCATGACACTGTCGTTAGAAACAAAGAAAAGAGTATTGAACTCTTATCGAATGTCAGTCCTCCTATATGGCAGTGAATGCTGGACAATTTTCTCACATATAAAGAAGACAAAAACCTGGTTCTACAGAAGGATGCTGAGAATGCAATAGACTGAATATATGAGCAACGACGAAGTTTCAGAGAAAATGGAAACAAAAAGGGCACTTATACTTAACAACGCAAAACGACAGTTGAAATATGTAAGGCACATAATGAGGAAAGAGTGCTAGGAAAATTTGACACTCAAAGGGCATAGTGAAGGCAAGGGGGACAGAGAAAACAGCATGTAACCTACCTAACGAACTTTTGTAAATGGCTAGCAGAACCGGGTTTTAGAAGAGATAACAAATAGACAAAATTTACTAAGACCTACAAAGAACAAGGAAATTGTGGAGAGCTACGATCGCCAAGATTTTGAATGGACGCGGCACATAGAAGATGACTGTTTATCACGTGATATGACGTCATATTTTGTGATCAGATATTCCTATACATATGCGATGGCAAGATATAATTTTTTTCCTCTAAAATATATTCTATTTTTTTTTTTTTAATTACCGGTTGCATTATATTATGTTTGTCGAAGCTATTTAAAAAATGCATTGCCTATAACATAATAATTTTGAAGTTAATGTTGTATAAAGGAAATATTCTCACTACTGACCTTCCAAACAAACATAGAAATCGAATGAAATGTTCTTACTGCTTGCACAGATCTGGTTGATGTAACTTAATATAAACCGCTTCAAAGACACGTAAGTAGTATGCAGACCAGGCTCTGTGTCAGGATAATCAAGTAAATGCTGGCCTATGGCCGAATCAGGTGCAGGACTAAGTCATCCTCGAAGAGAGACTCAGAT